TTAGAAGCTCATTATGATAATTCAAAAAGCCCCATTTGTGTATTAATCACGCCCTGGTATCATCCTTAACACGTTCGCTGCCAGACATATTTTTTAACATGTGTCCAATACGTCAAACATATATTTTACATTCAGCACTAGTGGGCCACTATATAAAAACACGTTGGTCCCATCGGGGCAGCGCGGCCCAGTGAGGTAAGTTAATACTGTCATGCGGCGTTGGTCCGTTGACGCGTAACATAACCTATATTCTAATATGTCAACAATCAGTTTGAGAAGTTAATTTGTCCTGCTCTTGAGAAGAATAATAGCCGTAAGTAGTTTATATTAGTTCAGTAGATAGATATTGTTTTAATTCTATGTATTTATAGATGCCTAAACGTACGAGACCTTTGTCTCAAAGTGAACTACTCAACATAGCCGACAATTTTGGGAAATTCTTCGACGAAGATGATTCGGATCCATTTGAAGCTTCTGAGAGTGATTATGTTTGTAGTTCAGAGTCAGACTCGAGCTCAACATCGGATTCAGAATCTATAAGTATGTATCGAGGAAAAAAGTAAAATTAAATCCAAACCCAAGCACTGTCCAAGATCCAGAAGAGAACACGGATCTGGTTTTAAATGACAGAAATCCACAACGGAACTTAAACATGCCTTCTTTATCGAATTGGGGCCCATTAGCAGGTAACTATAAAAAAATACCAGATTTTACGATCGAGTCAGGAGTAAAATCGGAAGTAGCTGCATTACTGGCACATGGTCAACTGGGAGATTTCTTTGACGCCGTCGTCGACAACAGAGTTATCAGCATGATTTGTGATCAAACAAATCTGTACGCAACACAGACTCTTATGCGCACAGATGCAAAACCAAGCTCTCGCTTGCATGAGTGGATTCCGACAACAAATACTGAAATCAGAAAATTTTTGGGATTAGTTGCAAGGATGGGTTTGGTACAAATGCCAAAAATTGCCGACTACTGGAGCAATGATACAATTTTCACTAATCAATTTGCAAGGAAAGTCATGTCAAGGAATCGATTTGAGATTTTGTTGAGAATGATACATTTTACTGATAATTCATTGGCAGACCAATTTGATAAATTGTACAAACTAAAATCCCTAATAGAAATTTTAGTGGCTAATTTCAAATCGCTATACGTTCCAAATGAACACATCTGCGTCGATGAGACACTCTTGCCATTTAGGGGAAGATTAGGCTTTAGACAATACATAAAATCAAAACGACATAAATATGGCGTGAAGATGTTTAAAGTGTGTTATGATCTTGGATATACATATAACTTGAAAATATATGCAGGAATAGAGAATAATCATAAGGTCACTCCAGAACGTATTGTACGTTATCTTCTTGACGACTTGCTACATCAAGGAAGGACACTTATAACTGACAGTTGGTATACGTTTGGAATTGGCAGAGAAAATGCTCGATTCCAATACGGATTTAGTAGGAACAATTGGAAAAACACGAAAAGGTTTGCCCAAAGAAGTGATAAATGCAAAGTTAAAAAAAGGAGAAATAATTTCTCTTGAAAACCAGGCTGGCATAACCATCAGCAACTGGAGAGATAAAAGGAATATTTATACCCTATCCAATAAACATGGAAATTACATGCAAGAAGTGTCATGTAATCGGCAAACTAAGATGAAACCAAAAGTAGTATTAGACTATAATAAAGGCTAAGCAGCAGTTGATTTATCCGACCAACTGGGGGCATACTCTAATCCTCTAAGAAAAAGCGTGCAGTGGTACAGGAAAATGGCTTTCGAACTTTTATTAACATCTATGGTAAATTCCTATATTTTATATAAGCTTGTAACTGGAGAAAATATGTCAGTGACAGATTTTAAAAAGCACATTATAAAGCATCTAGTGACAAACAATGAAGATAGTCATTCAGAAAAACAAATACCTACACCCCTTGTTCATCACGTCATTGAAGTGAAAACAGATGGAAGCAAACATCAACGAAGAAAGATGTGCAAAAACTGTTACCAGACGAACAGTGAAAAACATGGGCGCCAATATGCCATGAACAAAACTAAAAAGGTAGATACTTTCTGTAAAAGTTGTGCGAACGAACCATTTTTGTGCATACCTTATTTTAATATAGTTCATAATCACTAAATAAGATACCATGTTTATTTTCATTTTTTTTGTATAACGATTAATGTTATTTTGTATCATGTATCTTGATTTTCCAACGCTCATTTTCCTATAATCCTGTAAGTCTCTAGAATATTATTCGTGTTGACTTTAAATCCACGAATCGTCGTGTCTTGTTTCCGTATGTTAGGTTCTACTTACAGAGCTCTACGCTATAATTTTTCGTTCGTTTAATTTTTGTCAAGAATCTTATCAGGAGAAGAGGTACGGAAGTTGCGCCGTAGTTCAACAGTCTCATCTTTAAACTCCAAATTAACTTTGATAAAATATATAATGACATGAGCAACCTGGGTAACGTATTATTTGATAAACGTCAGAACAAACGTCGAAAGCTGTCGGAAAGGTAATTGATTTCTAATACATAATAACCCTGCCGGCCGTGCCCTATTCGACTTGTGCGCGATGGTAGCGCCACCATCGGATGTCGGACAAAAATATCTCATATATCCATGAAAATAACAGAGATTCTGTCAATTTGAACAACTTGAATTTCAAACTGATCAGACTAATACTCCGAAGATATTTCCCTTTTTGTCCACCGCGTGCGCGTCGATCGATTTAGCTCGCCCTACTTTGCACTTCGGCGAATACACCTAGAACTGACCAGTACGATCGTTCCTAGGATATCAAGTGGGGGAACTATTCACCAGTAAGCTAGAGCGGTGCTCATGTAGTTAGGCTTTATTTTTGCAACGAATTTTGTATAATATCATGTTTTTGTTGTTTTTTCTGTTATGCAACTAATAAAATACTAGCCTGAATGCGCGGCTCGGACTAAGTAAAGTATAGGTTATACGTCTTGTATTATTTTGAAGGAGATTAGTTTTGCAATGCAGTAGCTAGTTTGGTGATAGATATGTTTTGTTCAACATTTTAATGCAGCTACATAAATATATGCGAATTATTATTTTATTCAATAACATATACTAAGTGACATATAAATCCGAACACCCAGTTTAAATGGTTTTATTTTAATAAAATTAATTTTGTATAAGTACTTACATAATAAGTAAATGATAAAAATTTCAAAATGATTGCACTGCTTTAAAGCCCTTTGACCTTTAATAATGTGTGGATGCACCCTGATGTGCTACGCATTCTCCATCGCGCCTAGGCATGCTTCTGATCAGGTGGTCAATGTCCTCCTGTGGTATCTCATTCCAGGCAATCACCAACTCCTCTCGAAGTGCTTCTAGAGTCTGAGGAGGACGTTGCAAATTGAGCAATCTCCTACCCATCATATCCCACACGCGCTCAATTGGGGATAAGTCGGGAGATCTTGGTGGCCATGGTAACAATGTGACATCATTATGTTGAAAGAAGTCTATTGTGACTCTTGCAACATGTGGTCGGGCATTATCTTGTTGGTAAGTTGGATCTGCCAGGGTGTCAAGATAGGGTAAAAGATGGGGTTCTAGAACTTCGTGGATATAACGCTGCGCGTTCATGTTACCTCTGATGAAGATTAAAGGTGACCTGGAACCATAAGCTATAGCACCCCAAACCATAACTCCAACAGTGTGATGAACATGTCTTTCAACAAAAAACTGTGGATTCCTCCTTACACCACGTCGCCTTCTAACCCTGACACGACCATCGTGCATGCCTAAACAAAATCGAGACTCGTCACTAAAGACAATACTGTTCCATTCCTGTTCCCAGAGTGACTGTTGTCTGCACCACTCAAGGCGATTACGTCGGTGTTCTCGAGTTAAAGGGAGGACCCAGTGTGGCCGGTATGAAAACAAGCCAAAACTTCTCATTCGTCGGTAATCACTTCGCATGTCAATAGGTCTTCCGTGTTCTGCAAACCATTCATTTGCAATGGACCTGGTAGTGGAGAAACGGTCCCTTAAGGCCAATAATCTTAGGCGGCGATCTTCACGGTCTGTTGTTCTACGGCGGCGTCCAGTACCCCTTGCTCTTTGCGTACGGCCTTCTCGAAGCCATGCCTGACAACACCTAACCACAGTGTCTACACTTCTTTGCACTCTAACTGCAATTGCCCGAAAAAAAGTCCAGCTTCCCGAAGTCCCACTATACGGCCCCTATCAAACTCACTAAGTTGACGAAATCGTACAGGTCTCCGTACTCTAGGCATCGTAACCGATCGTAAAGGATGTCAAGAACCAAAATTCGCCAACGTTGATTCTTTACTGCGACTGAAATATTCATTTTTAGAGCGTTAGTGAATTAAAAAAAAGCAGTATAAAAACCGGAATGTCCAACTGATAAGGCTGAAAATTTTTTCACTTGTTATTTACAGTAAGATAAATACATTCACCAACTTTTATTGAAATAAAACCATTTAAATTGGGTGTTCGGATTTATATGTCACTTAGTATATGTATGTCCTTGTACTGAAGACCACCTTTTTGGTTGGAACGTTTACAGTATTGAAGATTCTGTCTATACATGCATGGGGTTTTATCGACATTAGAAGTTATTTGTCATCTCATGACAATAAGTATGACTTTTGAATAATCGGCCTCACAAAAAGCATGGTCTTCTATGGTCCAGCCACCTTGTTTTTACCCATGCATCTACCTCCCAATGTTTTTCATTTTGCTATTACTAATCGAGCTTTTTTATAATAATGGATGGTATCGATGGAGGTACCTCTTGCAGTTTAGGTAGGTCTGAAACAGTTACATTTGCACGTGTGGTATGTGACAACTCTGGATATATATTTTATGACCGGATTATGACATCCTGTATCGTGAACTGCTCATGCTTATATTTAACCATAGTTATGGAACAGCCATTTAAAAAATAATGAAGATACTAATCAATTCTGGTATAAACACTTACCAGAATGTGAACTGTGTGCGTGCATATTGCACCTATGATCACCGTTCCTAGGAATCCTACTACTAGACCGGCTGTCCTGAAAGCTCTGGGAATTGACAGAATTCCCAGCCCAAGGGAAGCCTTTATTATGTGTATGAGCGCACCAAGGAATCTGAAAAATAAATATCAAGTAGATTGACTCTGTACTTCCCACGCAATTCTGGATGAATGGACGTTGGATATGCATCATGTATCTAAGTCTACTTCCGAACGCCCTGGGTATACTTATTATCCACATAAAGGTCATAAAATACTCGTAAGAAAAGTATGTATGATTTGGAAAAATTGAAATTATGATCAATGATGTAGCTTGCTCTTGAGCAGCCCTATATCAACATTTGTCGAATGGGCAAATAACAAATATACACTTTTTGTTCGTTACTTTTCTACGCATAAAAAATAATAAAACAGGACCAACAATAAGGTAAGACAACACGTGACTGTAATGTGGTATCCAGAATTGTGAGAAAATCAAAACTGTATTAACTAGTTTGGCTAGCAGATCCCACAAGATCGTCCTTGATGCCTTTTTGAGTATCATTAAGAGCCCTATACTCTTTCACGCTTTATTGTAGGCGAAGCTACGATGGACAATATTAGTTCTATAACTAGGTCTGTTGAAGTTGGAGTTATGCTTGAGATTTCTGCTATTAAGATCACAGCGTGGTACACACTTTTTTGAAAGATAAGTAGGTTCCCTATTTATTTGAGTATTTGAACGAAGATGAGCAGATAATATGTAAATAGCCGGTCAACCTTCAACCATCTTAACTCTTTGATCTTTTGCGACACAAGGCTAAACTTTCGCAGACCATAAACAAACCTGCTACAGCTATTTTGAATTTTTTGTACTCTACATCTGGTGACGCAGGCAAGGAAAGTAAACAACAATTGAATAATTTATTAACTACACTACTAAAGTTTCAGCTAGTTGTTGATGTTCAAAATATGTCGATTAGACTATAACATCTTTAAACGCAAGTATGTTAATCTAGATAAATTTGTAACATGTTGCTTAAATCTCAATCCATAACAACTCCTAAATTCTTTGCATGGTCCATGATAGGAATATGCATATTATTAAGATTAAGGACAATTGTCGACTCTGCACGTTGTAATAACTGCTTTGGACCAAAGATCGAAGCAGAAAATTTTGTAGCATTGATCTTTAGATATTGCCTGTTACAGTAATATTTTAGTTCAGTTTGTACGACACTTCATGCAAGACAAATGAATAAAATGACATAGCCAGCTGAGTGTCGTATATCAAATGTATAAGCTAAGTAGAATAACGGTTCGAACACGAAGCCTTGAATGAAACATTTTCCGCCGATGAAACACCTTTACATGTTTTTACCTTTTTTGTACGTTGTTCAGATCACTTTTATTTTCCAAAATGTTCTTTCAGCTGTTACGGTTGTAATGTGGAGGGTCAAAAATAGGAAGCATGCTATTACTTTCAAGCAATACACTCCCAGCATTCAGCGTTTATTTGCTTGCTTGCACTTGAGATTGTAGATCGTATTTTTATTTTTACACGTCGGGGTTCGCATAGGGGGTTGTGTGCCCCAAATCATACGGCTGATACAGCGGTTGCTACGGCCCGGACTGTGAATATGCATCATGGGATCTTAGGCGCTATGAAAACACGTACACCTAGACGAAGGCGGTAAGGTATTAGAATTAATAGAAGTGAAAGACAGTACCGCTCTAAAAACGGAATATGTCGTGCACCACCACATAATTGACAACTGGTCAATCAGAGGAAAAACAGGGTTTTCATCGTAGTCATCAACAGTGGAATTCTGTCTCTGTGACCATGGCCAAAAGTATGCGACGCGTTTCGTTCTTGTCAGCTATATGCTATATCGGCTGTTTCAAATTCGACGTTCAGTGGTTCAGTTAAACGGAGATAAAGTTGCACATTTAAATAACTGGAAAAAGGCACTTAGAAAGCTTAGAGAGAGGCAGAAAAAACAATTTTCTCAAAATCGTTATTGATTTTTCCTAACTATTTGGGGTGTGTTTCGCATAGGTGAATGGAGTTTTTAATTCTGATTTCAAATATGTATAACGTGCCATGCATTGCCATTGTATAACTTCAATTAGTTGAAAAACTAATATTTTCGTAGTTGGCCTTGACCATATGACGCGTTATCTTTACCATGACGGATCCTCCTTACATGTCACCTGAGCCGTACATTACTATTTAGTGTACATTGCTTTTGAGGCTGTCCTTGTTACCAACTTTATCATATAGTTTAAGGGTCATATTGAAAACGGTATAATTTTAACAAGCTGATGAAAAAATTGTAAAGAAAGTGATGGCTACTGAACCAATCACATACCCATTTTGATCTAAATAATTAATGAATGTTAATGTCCAGTTAAAATAATATTTGCTCTTGTCAACAAGGGACAAAATATCTAAATGCTCTTTAAACACGCTTCTGAAAAAGCAAAGAAATATTTAATTGACCATTTAATCGAATAAACAAGTAATCATCTGCCACTATCACGGCCAATTGTGTAAATATTAGTGTTTTTTTGAAATAACTGAAGCTTTACAGTTATAATGTATAACATATTATAAATTTTTGGAACCAGAATTATAAGCTCTATTCGACTCTACGAAAATACAAGATGGCGTCTATAAGTTGTTGAGTGATGATAAAAGATGAAACGTCAGATTGAAATTCGAGTAATACCAATTTGTAGAGGAGAAAAAGTGGAGATGTTAATGTGCAATTTATTTTGAAATTGCATCTGAAATAAACTTAGGAAAAAACTAAACGGTCTTGTTAAAATTTCAGTTTTCCTATTTATTTTTAAGTGCCATTTTCTCACGCGCCTATATGCACAACTTTGTCTTCATTTAGCTTACTGTTTCCGATATTCTAATGGTGAGAGTAGAATTCTAAACACCCGACAGACCTTGTCTTGGAAACAAACAAAGGAAAGGAAATACGCGGATGTGATCTACTGAAAAACTCAGTAATTTTGCTTTCCGGTCTCCAAGACAAGAGCTCTACCATACTAATGACAGCTATCGAGTAAAAAACTGCGTTGTAAACGATTGTACTGGTCACAGAGACGGAAAAAGATTCACTTCATTCTGAGGCAGCTTATTCACTGGTCAACAGCCAAAATGTATCCAGAATAAAATTAGCCAATTTTAGATAATCTTGTGTTAAACAAGAATATGCCAGGTAAAAAGCCCTTTTAGCTCTGGTTTTTCCGGTACCTCTAATTTATGGGAAATTCCTGAATAGCCCTACTGAAGGCGCGAAACTCCCTTCTCTAAGAATAATATTAGCGCCTATGTATTTATTTATTTTTATATGTATAATATCATTTACCTTGAACAAGTTAGTGGTTAATGACAAGCTGTATTGTTTCGAAAAGTGAATATGTCGCGCACTTGTGTAGATGAACCGGACAACTTTTGTTACGGTTGTGGTGAAGTGACCCTCCAGGCCCGAAAACGCAAAATGACACGCTTAAAAAGGCATACCATTAATTTATTTGGTTGCAAAATGGGAGACGAAGACAAGAGTTGGCCTCCCCATATATTTTTCCCCCGCGTCTCGTCACATGCCAGTAGCCTGCTGGATCTTTTTCTGACCACGCATCCTATCCCTTATAGCACTGCTGTCCTGTCCCCCCTGGGTAACTCAGACCACGGTGTTGTGGAGGTTAGATTTCGGTCAGAACCCGCAGCAGAAACTCGTAGAGACCGCGAAACTTGGCATTATGGACATGCCGACTGGGAGGGGCTCAGAGACTTCTTCTCTACCTTTCCTTGGAGAGATGTCTGTTTTACTGACGCGGATGCGTCGGCTGGCTGTTCTTCGATAACCGAAATTATGCATGTCGAAATGGAGGTATACATCCCTCACACAGTGAAAGTGCCTAAACCAGGGTCCAATGGCTGGTTTAACAAATCGTGTGACACTGCTCGTCAGTAGAAGATCAAGGCACACAGAATCTTCTTACAAAACCCCACTGTAGAGAACAGACAAGCCGACGTCGAGTCCAGAAACAAATATAACGGAGCGGTTCGCAATGCCAAAAACCAGCGCGATATAAAAGTTCGGCACAGGGTAATCTCGCAGTGCAATGGCAGTCGGTCTTTCTAGACTCTGGCCAAGCAGATTGAAAAGAAATGCTCGCACTGTAGCCTTCCACCACTTACGTGTCCGGATGGAGCGACTGTATCCGACTCAAAGGCCAAGGCAGAAGTGCTTGCCAAGATCTTTGCTGCCAACTCCACCATGGACGTCCCCCCCAACGCCCAAGTGCCGTCAATTCAAAGGGTTCCCTACACTATGCGGGAGGTAATATTCAGGCATAAGACCGTAAGACGAGTGCTCTTGTCACTCGACATCAACAAAGCTTCTGGTCCGGACTTGATTCCTGCCATTGTACTGAAGCGGTGTGCAGCGGAGCTTGCTCCAGTTCTTTTGGGTCTCTTCCAGATATGAATCCGGCACCTTCCCAGAAAACTGGAAATTTGCTCATATCCAGCCCATCCCAAAAAAGTATCTAAGACCGACCCTTATAACTACAGGCCTATAGCTCTGCTTTCTGTTATAAGCAAGGTGATAGAGAGGTGCATAAATCGCGAGCTTCTGTACTACCTCGAACGTCATAGCTTGATTAGCGTCAGGCAGTATGGTTTTCGGCACCAACGATTCACAGGGGACCTCCTAGCTTACGTCACGCAATTGTGGAGTAAACTCATCCAGTCTTATGGTGAGGCTCATGTCGTTGCTCTTAACATTACGAAAGCATTCGATCAGCCGTGGTACGCTGCCCTCTTAAGTAAACTTCCATCCTATGGCCTCCCAGTAAAGCTTTGCAGATCGGTAGCTGACTTTATCTCTGACCCCAAGATATCCGTCGTAATTGACGGGTTCTCCTCTTCATCCCACAACGCCAACGCGGGTGTTCCCCAGGGATCGGTCATGGCTCCGACACTGCTCCTCTCACATATCAACGACCTCCTTTCCTGCACGATCAACCCAATCCACAGCTTCGTTGATGACAGCTCTCTACATAGAGGAATTCAAATTGACAAGCCGATCTCTGCCGCTGAGGTGGAAAAAAGAAGACTAGCGACGATTTCCTCACTGACGAGAGACCTGGAGGTTATCACTGCTTACGAACACATCTCGTTAATAGCAGCAGCTGCTGGGAAAAAGCTAGACTATTTGTTTAGGGCTAAGAAATACTTTTCTCTGCATGACCTTCTCACTCTATACAAGGCCCAGATAAGGCCTAGCCTCGAGTATTGCTCACACGTTTGGGGTGCTGCCACTCCGACTACATTATTTATGCTCGATGCTGTCCAGAGGAGGGCGGTCTGACTGATCGATGACTCTTCTCTAACAGACAGTCTCGGGACCCTTTCTCACCGGCGGGCAGTCGGCGATCTAGCTCTTTTCTACCGTTACACCAACGGGCTTTGCTCCTCAGAGCTCTTTTCCATGATGCCACCACGATGTGCCTGCCAAAGAGACCCGCCTGACTTTGGCGTCCCATCCTAACCGTGTCCAACTTCGTACATCCAGAACTGGCCAATACGACTGCTCCTTTGACCCGAGGGTGTCGAGATTGTGGAACAATCTACAAGAGGAAACTTTTCCCAGTTCTACTAAGCTTAGGCAGTTCAAAAATCGTATTAACAGAATTTCTTTGGAATCATCATAGCAGTCAGGGTGTCCCGGCATTTAGACTTCTGCCTGCGCGGCTGATTCGGTATAAAAAAGTGAGTCAAAAGCATACTCTAAATTTTGGAAACAAACAATGCAATGTAAATATATAGGCTTGGATCCTTCTAATCTAATTGAATTGGTTGGTTAGTAGTGAATCATCTCATCCAGAGTTGTAAAATCAAATCTACGACTTCCTCTCTACGGAAATCTACTCGTGTTCATCCCACTATGGATTGCGCTCGTTCAAGCCAGATTTGTTGAGTCAAATCTGCGGTATGATCTGTAGGAATGATTCACCCATCTATGGGTGGCTATCCGATCCTGCGGAAATTTTTCTACCTTCTCAAATTCTTCTACTGTATCATTTTTATAGTCTGTTTTGGCCTGTTCCAGTTGTCAATGTGTCACTACGGAATTTACGATATATGGCTCAATTAACTTAGCATAGTTGTGAAAAATTCCAGGTATTCTGATGGAGATTATCTCAGGAGGATTTTGGCTCATACTAGATTGATGAATCACTGCGACATAATGAATAATTTGTTTTGATACCAAAGTATGTGAAAAATACCACGCGAAGAAATCTCCATCAAAACATAGTTCGTAGTTCATAGTTATTATTTAATGAAATTTACATTTTTATAAATATGGTGATGCTATTACATAGTTTTTGTGTATGTATGGTACATTATAACAAAGCACCTAGCTAATTAAATAGCTGTATGCGCTTGCTCGAAATTCATGGATATAAGTATGAGTTATGAATTGAGTAGTTTGCACAGTAAGCATGTTTCGATTTCGTGCAAGTCAGTTTGGGAAAAAGGAAAATATGTAATGATAATGTCCTACAATTATCCTTATTATGAATGTTGTGACAATGTACTGTTGGATTCCATGTAGTTTTATTTTGCTGGGTACTTTGTTTCAGGTTAGCTATAATAGACTAGGCGGCATCAGGTCTGTGTTCTAATCCCTAATTGTAGTCTAATTTGGTTCTAAAACGTGGATATTTTGAAAGTACTCACGAGTTTGGATGTTCCAGTGATCTGTTATCGTACGGATTGTATTCTTCGTGTAAGTTTGCCTTGCTTGAGCCATTTGGTGACTTAATTTGGTCATTGTTTGCTAGTGTAGCTCTGAAAGATTTATAAAATATGATTAGTGAGATTGAAAGCATATCGATTATATAAGTGTAAGGCGTTGGTATCAAATCGTACATGACTCTCTAAACTTTTTTATTTGGTAGGGCTTGGTCCTTACGATAGTACCAAAAAAAAATGTGACATTCTTTAGTTTCAATGATCGTGTTTCTGAGGAAGTCCTATTGTATGCTTCAAGATTTTCCTTGTACCCGCCATAGAGCTTTAACATTTGATAGCATTGATGATTTTCTGTTATTATAACTAGTAAGCTTTGCATTTTACAGTACAGTACAAGCTTAAAATCAATTAAAATAGAGAACAAACATTTAAGGTGCATTGTAATGTAATGTAGTAGATATACTTACGTCGAGCTGAAGTTGTCGATGGTAAAGGTCGATGGGAAATCATTCTTCTTTACCATGGTATACTGTAAAAAATCATTAATATATATATATATATATATATATATATATATATAATAAGTAGAAAACGTTAATGCGATATTTTTACGCGTTTTGTCTGTAGGTATATATTGAACACAGTTGCCTTAATATTTTTGTGTTATTCAAGTCGGTATATTCAAGTTTCGTGCAAAAGATAATCTGAGTTATCATTGAGACTCGAAATGAACTTGTTGTTTGCCCCATTTTTATCTACTTTAAATGTAATTTTATCGCCAAATTGCTATACGTACTACTAAATAAGGTGCACTATACTATTATCTGTTATATTTCGACATAAAAGCTATACTAAAACTTAAGACAAGGCTAAATTCTTGCGTACTTCCTAATTTTGAGCTGATCCGGTTATTCGCAATTTCACCAGAAAGAAAAAGGTTTCAGTCTAGTTACTAACGAGAAATTAGTCTTTATACTCCAAAGGAGTACAATATAAAGTGTTTTTGAAGTATTTCGATGAATCAACTACGAGTATATCTAAAAATCATATAGGCCTGACTTCAGTCATCATCATAGCCAGATCTTCTTAAACAAATAGTAATATCATTGAATCATTGTACAGAAACATCAGAAAAAATATATATGAAAGTAGTTATAATATTTTTATAATATATTGGCTGGTTTAGAGCAGCATTATTAGTTTTGAGATCAACAGTTTAGTGAACTTTAAAGAAAATTAAATACAATTTTTTCATCTGGTACACGTGCAAAACAATTACATTTATATAACATATACTTAGGTTATACCTGTACGTATATTATATAATCTCACTGTGCACCGGTAGTTTTTTGTCGGATAGAAATTTGATCTTGTTTACATGTTTAGATTTGCTACGGCGGAAGAAATGCGAATAGGGCCATAAAAAGTGTAGTAGATCTAATTTTTGCCGTGAATAATTTAAATTCCGATCGAAGATTATCAAATTTCTGGTAATAACACAATAATACAACACAAACTAGTAAACTGTGTATTTGTAACATCCCAATCTTATCCTGGTTATGATGAATCTCCATGTTCGACTGGCTATCAAGTAAAACTGCAGATGAAGGATTAAAACTAACGTTCCAGCAAACTGGATGTATTTCTATGGCCGAGGCGGCCGAAAATATTATATTATAAATCTTTTAATCCTATCTGTGGTCTGAAGTCTTATTTGTCGGTCCGAGAAACATGAAGATTCGTTCGTAGTATGTTTCCAATTATGCAGTGCTTTTCAAAAGCCATCTACTCATTTTTTTGAACCGGTCAAGTTGGCAAGCTGAAATTCTGGATGATGGAATTCATGCATGGATCTATACTCATATATCTTGCCGTGAAAACATTTTGTTAAATGGATTGTGGGGTCACGTGATATCTCATTTTGAAGCTCCTAATGCGAACAAACCTTAGAATATAACTAACACTATCCTTCTAAATGGCGCACTGGCAGACTGTTAAAGTTTGGTGTTTTTTTATATTAATCGCTTGTAAAACAACAACTCAAAACTCTTGTAGCATCTTATATCAGTCTTCTTCAAAAACTCTCAACTTTGATAGTCTGTCGGTTCTTAGTTTTGATAGATATTTAACTAATATTCTGGCTCTTGGTAGTTACGTCATCGACTTGCACTTGCACACGGATTGATTATTGCTTGCTTCCATTTACTTTCTCAAAATGATTCAATAATTTTGGCAAAAATTATCGATATCGTGCGTTACGAAGATCAATGAAAGGTATACACAAAATTGAAGCCCCATGTGAAGTGGGTTGTTACACTGAGGTGGCGAGACAAAGCTAAAGAACTTATGTCTGAGCTTAAACAAACAAATATTCTCGCACAGAGGCAGATCGCATATATGTACTCGTATGTGTTAGAGAGATGGATGTATAAAACTGATGAGTTTTGGTGTGAATCCTGAAATGGACGATACGCAGAAGGAGCTTCAAAGTGAGGAACAACATCACTTCATGCCGCGTTCTTGAAATTTTTACGTCAAAATATGCATCAATTTCATCACTGCGAAGATCAACCTATTAACTTGACCCCTCCAAAAAATGCGTAGGGGGCCTTTCAATGGCAGTGCATTTATAATGAAAAACATGTGTATAATTTACATACTACTACATGTAGTATTGCATATAGTCGTGGTGCGTATACCTTTTATTCTAAATCTTGTTCATGAGAAACGCGAATGCATCCTATCTATCAGCATTTTAGCAGTAGACCCTGCAATAGAAATTTTTGTGTATATTGCAAAAATTAATATTTGTGTAAGATTCAGAACCATAAAGTGATACAACTAAAGTGTTTCTTACTAACTGGAACATTCTGGCACACAACAAAATATGAGTATTTAGATAACTAGTTTTGTGTTACTATATAGATTAAGAGATTTGTTGCAAAATATATACCCATTTGACTTCTTCATAGATGAGTAGCATTAAAGGTGCACTGAAATAATATCATTCTTCATCAGTGGTTTCATGTTAGTATTCATTTTTTCTAACTTAATATGACCTAAATTAAGGATGTTAGCATTTTCCGTATGGCATTCGACTATATTCGGTTAATTTTTTTTGAAGATGAATTAAGTGACTTCAATAAAAATCAGTTTATGATGTGTAGAAATTAGGCGTGTCTATAGACTTTGTAATAGATTTCGTAAAGTCTCTCAGTCTCTCACCAATCGAATATGTGACTAGACTAAATGTGAAATTAATGTCAATAAAAAAGAGTTCAAAAAAGCGAAAGACATTTTTCAGTGTTTATGAACGCCTTATTATGTCTTTAAAGATTTCAAAGCAGTGACGAAAGAGGTAGACTTCAATATAGTGGTCGTCATAATTTTTAACAATCTTATCTATATAACGCTGAGAGCCAAAATTAGTCCTATGGAGGTCCGTGAGTGAAGTTTTGTGAAAATATCGCCAATTAGGCGAGTAATCATAATCTTGGTTAACGAACTTAAGAATAATCGAAGGGATGTCAACATTTACGAATATAGACTCAGTCCATTATTCAAAGCGATTAGGGGCTTAGATATATATCTTGTAGCTACCTATTAGTACCAATATACATGTCGGTGTCAAACGCTGAAATCCGTCATTCCCTGAAATGCCTAGTCAGTCCGCGTATTGCCGGCAAACACCGTAAGTTTGATTATTACAACGTTTGACTAAGCATTTCAGTCATTCCCTGTAATGACTGAACAATTCCAGTCAAACACCGTAACAACCACATAAACTTCGTTACTGTATTCGCCTATTTTAGTCAAACGCTGTAATCAATACAGTGTTGCTCCATTGAAGTACATAATATAGGTACTACTTTATCAGTAATATTAAAAGAAAAATAATCAAGCATGAATTAACCTAAAAGGAAAGAAGAATACTTCATTATTACATTATTGTTTTTTTAATCAAGTATTTACTATATTTACGAAATCCAGCAGCTGAATGCTGCTGTTGAGCAAGCCTATGCACGTTATAATTTAGGTTAGGTTCACAAAATTATAAAAATTAACTTATTTCCTCATTTGTATTCCATGGTTTTTTCTTATTCACACTGTCACAGTATTCACTTAGTTTCTTGTAAAACAATTCTGAATGCTATGACATTTTTACAAACACAGAAAAGACGTTGTGTATACTCAAGCAAATGAACACAAAACTGGTACAATGAATGACTGAAATTGTCCAGTCATTACAGGGAATAACTGAAATGCTTAGTCAAACGTTGTATGTTAATAATCAAACTGTTACCGTGTTTGCCGGCAATACGGGGGCTGACTAGGCATTTCAGGGAATGACGGATTTAAGCGTTTGACGCCGACATACATACAGGTATTTTGTTAAATGTTTAATCTTACAGGACACACGTAGATAAAAGAGCCAAATTAATATGTGGTGTTGGTATGCTACTATTTCTTGGCATTGTTTTAAAAATTGACTTTATTATATGGTATAATTTTGTAAATGTTTCACAGAATGTGGTTTTTGATGAGTATGTGAATGTGCAGCTGGTTTTGTATACCTTTTTCAAATGGAATTTTTTATTGTATATATCTTCTTTTTCAAAGCTAATGAATATCGCAATGTTTTCATTGCCATAACTGTACATGCGTCGGTAAAGAATGACGATTTCTGAAATTATCGGTTTATTTTCAATAGTACTTTAGATAGATTATAAAATTTTCTAGACGCCGCTTTCTGATATCTGGTAATGTAAAATGTTCCTCTAATTTAACCTGACTTTGTATCTCTTCCCATCTCCGAGATCACAATGTATAATATTCGGAGTTTAATACAGTGTTTTCTAATTTTAACACAAAACATCAAAATTCACAAGAAACAGAACCAAGGGTGCAAAAGTTCGTTATTCTACCACATTATTTTAATAACGTATCCCAAATTTTTGATTAGCTAAATATTCGGCTTCGGCCTAAGGTAGTGTTAAAAGCCAAACATCGGATTTGGCTCCGGTGTCTGCCGGAAAATGGACCTAGTTGTATGTAGTCAGCCTTATTTTTTTGTACGTGTAGGAAATTTTGGGTTCATCTGCGATCTAGCCTACCTCTTATATCTTACCCATACGGTAAGGAACTAATTGTGCAGAATGGTGGTTATCAGTTCATTGAGCTAAAAGGCATCGACAGCATCTGTAACAAAAATTGAATACATTATTAGGGTATTTTGAAGTAAGAGGAAACCCAGATACTTTTTTAATACTCGTATTCTTGTTGATGAGCTTGTAACATATGAATAGAAAGTCTCTTATTTTTTCGACAATGATGAGTATTCATTAATAACTTCGAAGGCTTTTCACTTGCAAGTGTTCGCTCGCTTTATAATTCCACAAAAATTTTCCCTTTTAAAATTACATATCAGATTGGCTTTATATTAAGCTTTCTAGATGAACAAAATTAAAATATAAGAAATCTAAAACTTCCCAGTATTTAGCAAATAAGTTTTTATAAGCCAATATAAACATACAAAAAATTCACCAGTGATTACGGCCGCGATGTAAAGATTGAATTCCAACAACTTAGCTAGTGATTAGTTAATGGCTGTCAAAGCAGTGAAATTGATCACTGTTCCAAACCATCTTCCTAGAGTCCAAATATTTTTCCGTGATAAAAGATAAGTATAAAAGTAAGTGTTTAGGTATTTCAAATGCGAAATTCAGTTGAATGCCGTTTCATGATGTTGGATATAATATGAGAGCGTAACTTGTTAGTTTTCGTCCTAGTATAAATATCCTTAAGGACTGCCACGACTACCACAGTAATTTTAATATTGAAAATATAAAATATTATGATAAACCACACACACACACACACACATATATATATATATATATATATATATATATATACGAAAAGACGAACCTCTAATATATGCCTAATGTGGGTGTATTCTTTATTTTGACAAGTGAAGTCTAGATATCCTGTAGGGAACTGTTTGAGCTGTGACATAGCTGTAAAGAAATGGGCGCAATTCTGCTGCAATTATCCGATCGACTTGCACTAGAAACCTTCAGATGCTTATAAAAAAGAGGTTAAGGAGCAGCTAGGTTTTGTAGTTTCTAAACTAAAGCGAAAGTGGAAAGAATACAAAGCATATATATTTTTTTTCTTAAAAAAAGTGTCTGTGCCACAGTTCAAATAGTTCCCTATGGAATATTCAGACTTCATGCTGAAAATTAGTGCGGTAGTCCGCGGCAGTTTTAATAGTGTTATTTATATACTAAGTGACATATAAATCCGAACACCCAGTTTAAATGGTTTTATTTTAATAAAATTTTTTATAAGTACTTAATGAAGCATAATAAGTATACGTAAATGATAAAAATTTCAAAATGATTGCACTGCTTTAAAGCTCTTTGACCTTTAATAATGTGTGGATGCACCCTGATGTGCTACGCATTCTCCAACGCGCCTAGGCATGCTTCTGATCAGGTGGTCAATGTCCTCCTGTGGTATCTCATTCCAGGCAACCACCAACACCTCTCGAAGTGCTTCTAGAGTCTGAGGAGGACGTTGCAAATTGAGCAATCTCCTACCCATCATATCCCACACGTGCTCTGGGGATAAGTCGGGAGATCTTGGTGGCCATGGTAACAATGTGACATCATTATGTTGAAAGAAGTCTATTGTGATTCTTGCAACATGTGGTCGGGCATTATCTTGTTGGAAAGTTGGATCTGCCAGGGTGTCAAGATAGGGTAAAAGATGGGGTTCTAGAACTCTCTCTAGACTCGTCACTAAAGACAATACTGTTCCATTCCTGATCCCAGAGTGACCGTTGTCTGCACCACTCAAGGCGATTACGTCGGTGTTCTCGAGTTAAAGGGAGGACCCAGTGTGGCCGGTATGAAAACAAGCCAAAACTTCTCATTCGGCGGTAAACACTTCGCATGCCAATAGGTCTTCCGTGTTCTGCAAACCATTCATTTGCAATGGACCTGGTAGTGGAGAAACGGTCCCTTAAGGCCAATAATCTTAGGCGGCGATCTTCACGGTCTGTTGTTCTACGGCGGCGTCCAGTGCCCCTTGCTCTTTGCGTACGGCCTTCTCGAAGCCATGCCTGACAACACCTAACCACAGTGTCTACACTTCTTTGCACTCTAACTGCAATTGCCCGAAAAGAAAGTCCAGCTTCCCGAAGTCCCACTATACGGCCCCTATCAAACTCACTAAGTTGACGAAATCGTACAGGTCTCCGTACTCTTGGCATCGTAACCGACCGTAAAGGATGTCAAGAACCAAAATCCGCCAACGTTGATTCTTTACTGCGGCTGAAATATTCACTTTTAGAGCGTTAGTGAATTAAAAAAAAGCAGTATAAAAACTGGAATGTCTAAGTGATAAGGCTGAAAATTTTTTCACTTGTTATTTACAGTAAGATAAATACATTCACCAACTTTTATTAAAATAAAACCATTTAAACGGATTTATATGTCACTTAGTATACTAACGAAAACTAATAACTTACGCTCTCACACATCTAATATCATGAATAGGTATTTAGTCGAATTTCGTATTTGAAATTACTAGGTACCTACGTCTATACTTATCTCACATCGAAAAAAAACAATTTGGTTTGCTAGGAGCTTATTTATATTAGTGATCAATTTCACTGCTTTCACAGCTGCCAGCTAATCACTTATATCAAATTATTGGAATTCAATCCTTACATTGCGGTAGTAATCCCTGCTCTACTTTTTGTATGTTTATCTATCTTTTGTATGTTTATTTCGACGATAAAAATCGAGCTCTACTAAAAGCTAGTTTTAGATTTCTTTTATCCACCTAGATTGGTCATTTGTCCCACTGTGTACTGTTTTGTCTTCGAGAAATACTGTCGAAGCAGCCTAAACATTGGTAAATTGTATTTTATAAACAATATGGTTTCAATTTATGGTCAATTGAAGGGCCATGAGTTTTTCGAACTCTATATTCCTTTATCTATGTATGTATTATTTTGTGACAAAGTTGACGCTACCTGTATCTAGTTTCGCAAATATATTGAAAATAAAATCATTCAATGGATTGAGTGAGTTTATGGTACTACCATTCAATATCTTGATTTTATGGTTTTGTCACCATATTGCTACCTCATGTTAACCTCATTAGACAGGGAGATATCATCTGACAACAGACGATTAGCTTATCTTCAAAAAGCATAATACGAGTACGTGGTAGCACCTTCCAGCTGCTATCTATATTTTATTATTGCTTTTACTGATTATCTCGAGATGAAACTGCATTTTTTCATTCAAGAACATTCGCATTAGTGATCATCACATTGATAATGCTTGAAATGTTTATCTCATTTGTCACGTCGCTGCCGTTCAAAAGTAAGACTTAACATATGTACGTATTGTAGGTATAGACTTAGAGGCTTGGTCCTGTCCCACACACTTATTTTCGTAAATGTTGATCGACTTATTATAAGACAAGAACAACTAGCTAGTATCTAGACTTTACTATAACTATATAGTTATACAGTTATATTAAAATTAGCTTGAGAACTATATAAGCACAACTTTCAAATGTTTCTGTAGGTAAGCACTTCTGCCCCAATCGGAAAACTCAGTACTCCCAAAACGATTTTATAATAATAATCTGGAGACAGAAAATAAGTAAATAAAATAAATAAAATAAATCAATAGCTGTTATTGACCAACAAAAAACATGCAAAGAGCAGGTACGTAACGCAATATATACAAAGAAAAACAAAAAAGAAGTAAAGAGCATATTTCACTCAAGCGAAAAGCATATCACAAATTGTTTATGTTATTGCCAGCTACTCCCAGAATGCGACTTGGAACATGCAAATAAAGCAAAAACTTCGGTTCAAACTACTAGTTATTGAATGGCAAAGCGGTTGAAGATTGTGGAATAGCTGTATGGGATTGCTCAGCTCTATACTACAAACATAGCAAGGGTACGTTTTCCTATGCTTAGTGAAGCGTAGTTGTAAGTGTGTATCTGCTATGACCTATCTTACATTATTCTTAAATGATCAAAAGGATGAATAAAGTGTCTATCTGTCTGAAGTAGGCTAGCTATAATAAAATGTTAATGTAAATGTTTTGAAACATAAGCCATCATTCTATTACGAACATTTGTTGGAAACAACAAAATTCAAAAATTTTATATAATTTATGTTTGAAGAAATTAATGAGTGTAGAATAAAGAATCAGGTTCTATAAGTTATTGACTCTGAAAATAACTCAATTTTCAAGTTGATAGCATCTATGAAATTTTTGCATTTAAATCTTTTTTAACATACCTATGTATCTTATTGTTTCGTCAATATTTTTATTTTTTTTGTACTTGTATTTTTGCATTTTTGTTCAAATTTCACTCATTTTGGCATATTTAATTTAGTATATTGCCACGAGTGATTACCCTGTAGGGTATTAAACATTGTGTGGGATGGTAGGGAAATGAACTCTTTCTTCTAATTATTAACTATCATTGTTTGTCGTATCCTAAACTGGTTGGTACTAGTTAATCAAACCTTTCAAGAAGTTCCTTGAATCAACTGTGAATCCATTCCTGAAACATTTCCGTTTTCAAATTTCACAATAAATACTATTGAATTTGCGATGCCAGCACCTTTGACGCAGCTTTGAAAAGACAGCTTTCCCGAGAGTTTTAACACTTGAAAAACAAAAATGCTGAATTGCTGAAAGTTAGCTTTTCGTCTCTGTAACCATGCCCATGTAGGTGGCAGTTGTTCACCTCTTTACGCATAACATACATTTGTCAGTAGACCATACCCGCTCATGCTACTCTTTTCCATTATGGTACCGAGTATAAAATGAAGAGAAAAATCATGAGAGTGTAAAATACAATCTAAAATATTTAAATGCGAAAATTTCATAAATGTGATAAACTTGAAATTTGAGTTATTTTTAGGGCCAATAACTCCGTTAACATACCCTGAGTCTTTCAACAGGCCGGTAAAAAATGTCTGTTTATAGAGGTTTAAAAATTGTTCACAAAAACGAAATTACAAAAGAGGTCCAGCAATACCTATAGCAAACTTCAAAGCTGCATCACCACTTCCTCTGGCTTATGTCTAACTGCATATAACATTTCATTCAAAAAATCTTACTGGGTGTTCTATTTTCTTTGTCACTGAGGCC